TATTGACTCCTTCTTTCTCATTGATGCCTATTAGTCTCACATTGTTCATCTTTGCATCATCTTGCAGGTGATGGATTATTTTTTCCTGCATCCTCGTTGTTTTTAAGAGATCCTTTCTTACCTTTTCACTAGTTGCACCAGCATCTTCAAGATCTGAAACTCTGTCATCACTTTCATTTAAACGGTTTTGCAAGCTTGTGATTGAGATTTTAATTTCCTCTATATCTCTGACTGTGCTTCATACGATCTATTTCTTTCCTGTATTGCTCATTCAAGGAATCCATCATTTTGCTAATCTCCTCTATTTTTTTTTAATCAATGTCTTGTTTAGAAGCAGTTACAAATTCTTTTACTGCAGTGTTTTTTTTAGATTGAGTTTCCTCCCTATGTTTCTGTAGTTGATTCTTTACTTCAGATGCTATGAATTCTGATTATTCTTTTTTTATTTCAGAAAAGAATTCCGCTGTAAATTCCTCTATAACTTTGTGCTGTTACTTATTTACTATCAACGCTATTAATTCGTACATTTGAGCTGAGCTACTAGAAAAGAATTCCACTCTGAGTTCCTCTATGACTTTCTGCTGTTGCTTATTTACTATCGACGCTATTAATTCATACATTTGATTTGAGCTAGTGTCCTCTGCACATGTTCTGGGTTGGCATTGGGTTTCTTCCATATGTTTCTTCATTTGATTCTTTACTGCAGATGTTATTAATTCAGGGATTTCTTTTTTCATTTCCAATCTGAGTTCCTCTGTACCTTTTTGCAACTGTTTCTTTATTTCAGAAGCCGTTGATCCATTGCTTTCATATGTGTGATTCCCAGTTTGTTCTGTTTTAGTGTCCTCTGCACTTGTTATAGGTGGGCTTGGTTCTGAGGTTGCATTTTGCTCCTTCTCTTTGGCATTTTGTGTAGCACTGTCTTCTGACCTTTGTTGTAGTTCTTTGTTGCAGTTATAGCCCTAACACCTACTGAAGTTCAAGTGTAGATCTACAAATTGTTGATTTATCCAGCTGTGCCTGGCTCGGGTCTGGCTGCTGTGCTCAATTGCTTCTTGTTTCTGCCCTTGGGGATGAACCTGTTGTGCCCCTCTGGCAAGATGTTCTGCTCCTAGACTAGCTGGGTGGTTCTGTCCTGTACACTCTCTGTGGGGATTGCAGCTGCAGGGTTTCTCCCAGCCCTGTATTCCAGGCCTGAGCTGAGTCTGGAGAGGACCAGGTGGAGTAGAGGGGAGAGACAGTTCTCCCACACACTCACCTGGCCTGGACGAGGACTGGATCTGGGGGTTCCCAGAACGCCACAGAAATTCCTAATCTGTGCGTGAGGTGTGGGGAGGTACTATGGAGTGGTGTGGGGCGTCCCAAGAGGGTGAAAGCGGGTGACACCCATGGTGACCCTGGGCTGGGACTAGTAGGTCATGCCAGCACAAGGTAGCTGGAAGCTGTCCCACACACTGACCAGGCCTGGGCTAGGACTGGATCTGGGGGTTCCCGGAATGGGGCAGAAATTCCTGCTGGCAGTCTGGGTAGGGGAGGTGCTGCGGAGTGGTTGGGGGCATCCGAAGGGATGGAAGAGGATCTCACCCATGCTGCGCCAGCCTGGAACCAGTAGGTCCCGCTGACACATGGTAGCTGGAAGCTCTCCCACACACTCACCTAGCCTGGGCTAGGACTGTGTCTGGGGGTTCCCAAAAAGCAGCCGAAATTCCTACTCAGCGGGCGGGGTGGGGGAGTTGGTGAGGAGTGCTGTGGGGTGTCCCAAGAGGGTCGAAGAGGGTCTCACCCACGCTGTGCCTGGGCTGGGACCAGTACGTCCTGCGGGTGCAGGGCAGTCAGAAGCTCTCTCACACACTCACCGGGCCTGGGCTAGGACTGGGTCTACTTAGAAGATTTCATTTAGAATTTTTGCCAAAGAGTATAACCTAATTTTCTTCTTTTTGTCTGAAGTATTTTATTGTTTATCTGCCTACAAAAAATTTTTAGGGGTATAGGAAAATTTACAAAATGTGTAATTCGTAAACATCATCTTAATTTTTCTGTACGGTTGCTGAATTCCTATGTATTATATGTTCAAATAATCTTAAATCAACAACTTTGAGGATTATCTTTTAAGATTAGAAATATGGTTTTTAAAAAAACTCAGTTACTTTTTGTAAATAACATAGTGACAGTCTAGTAACAGCCAGTGTTCTTAAATGCATAGACTGCTTCTTTAACAGAAAGGGAAGGCCTGCTTTATAATTGAAGTCATTTCATGTGTATAGTAGTCAGATTACCCAAAATGTGTCTTAGTATTTCTTACACATATCTATAGACTTTTTTGGAATTAATCACTTATTGTAAATATATAGAAATAGCAAAGTAGATCATGTGAGATTGTTTTACAACTGATAGAAAAGATACCCATCCTTAAAAATACCTGGGTACTAGATCTACTTAATAATAATCAACAACTTAATTTTTTTAAAGTATCTGACTTTTTTTTAATGTACAAATGCAAATAATAAGTAGGGATCTGCTCTAATTACTAAAGGAACAGTGACATTACTAATTCAAAAAATCATTCACATTTGCCTTGGGGATTTATGATAATCAAAACCATACTCTTAAATTATGGAACTCCAAATCCATGTTATATGTCCCAATCTTCATTTTCAGGGAATTAGAAAGCATTACCTCTTAAAAGGGCTTTTCTAATTTGTTTTCTAAGTTGGTAGAAAGTATTGATTCAAATGCTTAACTGAAATAGGTAACAGAATTTCTAGCTTGTTATGATAATATAACATTGAACTTTGTGGTTTCTATAATTTGTGGCCTTTCTGGTAATTCAAAGGTAGTCAAGAATATAATATTTTGGGGGCCGGGGAGATGGCTCCGTGGAATAAGCGCTTCACTGGCAAGTGCAAGTGCCTGAGTTCAATCCCCGGTTCCACCAAAAGAAACAAAAGAATATAATATTGTGATTATTTTGAACAAGAGAAGTATTTTCTAGGATGAGGCTATGTTTATATAGAATATCAGAATCAATCTTTTAAAAATTATTTATTAGAATTTTTCATAGAAAGATAGATAATATTATCACAATAAAAAGTACTTTATTACATAGACATAAAACTTATGTTCAACAGAACCTTGTGATTCTACCAAAGGGAAAACCTCTAGATTATTGTACTTTATTTATATAAAATAGTATGTTCTGGGGCTGGGGAGATAGCTCAGTAGAACAAGCACTTGCCTGGCAAGCACAAGGGCCTGAGTTCAATCCCCAATTCTGCAAAAAAAAATAAATAAATAATAATAATAATAATAATAATAATAAAACAGTATGTTCTATAACAGTGGTGGTAGATCTGTGCCACACATGCCACAGAGGGCTGTTTGTATCATTGATAGCTCTAAAAGGTTCATTCCCACTCTTACATAATGTACATGTTAATAAGTCAATTTTCTATTATAGTTAAAATAAATGAAATAATATGTATAACTGCAACTTCACATTTTCTGTTTCTCTTAGATGAACATTGGAGATGACAGTTTCTGCATGTGTGAAGGACATTCTCAAGCCTTCATAGTTTACACACAAGATCATTAGAAATTAAATGTTCAAGGTAAATAAAACTGTAGTTTCATAAATAATTTTATTTGGATGATTAGTTGGCCTTATTAGACTTGCTGTATGTGCTTATTTTTCATCACAGTTTCTATATAAGTGCTCTCTCAATTACATTCCTTGATATTCAGACAAAAACTTTTACACCTTAATACCATGTTGAGAAGAGAATATTATGTCTCCTTTATAATATCCAGTTGACTAATGATACATTATCATGGAAAGGACTAAGGAACTAAAAGAAAGAGGAAGTAAATCCATCTAATTTCTAATCGCAATTTACTAGAATATAACTTGATTAAAAAAATCTTTTAAAAAAGTTTAAAACTAGATAATATCATTCATTATACTGCTTTTTTTAAATGTCTGTAAGGGTTTCTGTAAGCATGGAAAGGCTTTCTTTACTATGCCACAAAACCTAGCATAGTTTTAAATGATTATAGGATTACTAGTTTGAATACCAAGCCTGATTATTTCATGCCTTTTCAAGGGTTTCTCTAATCTCACCTATCCTCTCACTTAGCATGGTCTCTTCATTCCCTCCCTAATTGTTTACATTTTTATGTGACCATAAATTTCTAGTTATATTTTGATAAACTACAAATGAAGTTTGAAGATAAAAGGATGTTTAAAATAATACTTTTTGTCAAATGAGGACAATGAAAACCTACAGAGTATTGAATCTTATAATTTTTTTCCCGAAAGAAACTGAAACAGGGCTAGGGATGTTCGTGCCATAGCACCTACCTGGTAAGCACAAAGTGCTGAGTTTAATTCCCAGTACCAAAAATAAAAACATCAAAAAATCAAAAATTTTCAACTTGAAAACAATGAATTTTTTATTGGCAGTATACAGTTATGCCTTAGAAAAAAATATATTTTTGCCACCATGTGAATCAAATAAAACAGTTTACAGCCTCTGATGCAAGACTTTGTTCTGATTTTGTTTAGCATATAAGTACATAGAGTCTATTTTTCTCCTCCATTTCTCTGTAGCAACTTATTATTTTCTTAGTTTTTTGTGATGAATATTACTGTTAAAAATGACATCTCTTGTCTAATGCCATACCACCCTGAATGCGCTTGATCTTGTCTGATCTTGGAAGCTAAGCAGGGTCGGACCTGGTTAGTACTTGGATGGGAGAAATGACTTCTCTTAAAAGAAAAGTGATACTTAGGTCTAATTCATTTTCATAGCTATATATATAAAGTAGCTACTTGAAAAGCTATTTGTTTTCTGAAATATAAGGATTAGATAATTATTTTCATAGTCCATTCATCACCATCATCTAAATCAGATCCTTTTGGTAAAAGTAAAAAAAAAAAAAAAATTTCCCCAGTAGTGAAAAAAGGTTCCATTTTCCTCACATCCTCAACAGCATTATTATTGATTGATTTTTTTCATGGTAACCATTCTTTCTCAAGTGAGATAGAATCTCAGTTTTGTTTTAATGTTTATATTATATATATATATATGTATAACATTATATATATATTTGTATATATAACTATATATATATATATATATATATATATTTGTAATTTACCTTTTCATAGAGAGGAAGTATGGTTAAACCCATTTCTCAGTTCATAGCACAGTGTCATCACTAGTGCCCTGAAAAGCACTTCTTTTTTATTTGATTTGTTTTTCTACTCCCACTTTCCACATTTTGACACCATAGGAAACCATTCTATTGTATTATATTCTGGATTAATATCTGTTGATTGTAATTTCTTGTATTTTCATGTAAGCATTATGTATATATGTATTTAATGTTTTCTATTTCAACTGCTAATAAGGAAGCTGGGTACAACAGCAGATGTCTGTAATCCCAGCACTTGGCAAGGTGAGGCAGGATGATAGCTGGGAGTTCAAGGCCAGTTTAGGACAAAGTGAGCTCAAGGTCATCAGGAACTGTATAAAGAGACCCTGTTTCAAAATCACCAAAATGAAGGGGGAGTGGGATAATTTTATGAACTCTCATGTCCCTGTTTCAGCTTCTTATGATTTCATGTTTCCTATCTTTTCCTTTGCTTCTCCCCCATTGATGCGCCTAAAATTAATTTTTTCCATTGGCAGTCACCATACTTTAATTTTATTTATACTATTTTGATATTCATGCTAATCATTGATCATAGGGAATTTGTACCTGTATATAACTTGATTCTTCCTTTTCCCCCAATCCTCTCTTCACTTCCTTACTTACAAAAGCTTTGTTTCCTTTTGTTTTCCTTTTTTTCCCCCTTTCCTTCCCTTCTCTTCCTTCCCCTCCCCTCCCCTCTCCTCTCTTCCTTTTCTTGCCTTTCCTTTTCTTTCTCCCTTGTTTCCCTTCCCTTGTCAACATGTCTTCCTATTTCTGAGGATCTGTCCTCACTTTTACTACTTAATTATCCTTTGAGTTTCTCATACTAGAGAAAGTTATATTTAAACTTGTGTTTCAGATTTATTTCACTTCCAATTATGGTTTTGAGGTGCTTCCATTTACCTAGAAATGGGTCAAGTTTATCCTTCTTATGGCAGTATAGTACTTCATTGCATATAAAAGCCACATTTTATTTATTCATTTATCTGGTAATGGGCACTTAAGCTGTTTCTAAGATTCAGCTTTTATAAATTGTGCTGCTGTAACATTAGTGTCCATATATATCAGTCAGATATGATGCTTTTAATTCTTTTGAACAGATACCAAGTAAGGGAATAGCAGGTCAAATGGAACCTCTAGTTTTTGTCTTTTTGAAGAATATCTACTTTAATTTTCATATTGGTTGTACTAATTTACACTCGTCCCCAGTAGTGAAGAAGGGTTCCTTTTTCCCTACATCCTCACGAGCATTTTTATTGGTTGATTTCTTCATGCTAGGCATTCTTTCTTAAGTGAGATAGAATCTCAATGTTGTTTTAATTTGCATTTCTTGAATTTCCAGTGATGTTGAGCATTTTTCATATATTTATTTGCCATTTCTACTTCTTTATCTGCATTTTGTATACTATTCTTAGATTGGGTCCTTTAATTTGACTAAATCTGATTTTTTTAAATTCTTTTTTATGTTCTAGATATCAGTCCTTTGTTTGAGAAATAATTGGTAAAAATTTTTTTTCCCATTCTCTGCATTATCTCTTCACCCTGTTAGAGATTTGCTTCATTGTGTAAAAGCTTTTTAATGTAATGTGATCTCAGTTGTTGATTCTTTCTGGTATTTTCTGGGCAATCAGGGTTTTAATCATAAAGTCTTTGTCTTATACCCATGACTTCAAGAGTTTTAGCTATTCTAGTTTCCAGCAGATTTAGTGTTTCAGTTTTAATATTTAGACCTTTAGTTCATTTCAATTTTAACTTAGGGAAAGATGAGAGATATAAATTTAGGTTTAATCTTTGGCACGGGCAAAACCAGCTCCACAAGCAAAAATAACTAAAAAGACAAACTCCCCCAAAACAAAACCTCTCAACCCCTCTCTCACACACAAACTCTCTCAATCCATCTCGAACTCTTTCTGCATCTCCAACCAGGACCAAGGAAGACCAAACTCAGTCGTGCTAGGCAGGTGCCCAGACCAATAACACGTCTCCCAAACCCAAAGACACCCCCTCCCCCTCCCCCTCCCCCTCTCCCTCCCCCTCCCTCTCTCTCTCTCTCTCTCTCTCTCTCTCTCTCTCTCTCTCTCTCTCTCGGTAGAACTAGGGATTGAACTCAGGCCCTTGTGCTTGCCAGGCAAGCCCTTATTCTACTGAGCCATCTCCCCAGCCCCAAACATCTCTTCATCTTTTATTTTATTTTTATTTTTTGGCAGAACCGGGGATAGAACTCAGGTCCCTGCACTTGCCAGGGAAGCGCTTATTCCACTGAGCCATCTCCTCAGCCCCCGAAGTATCTTTGTAGTATAATTCTAGTTTCAAAAGTTTGATGCCCCCTGCCTTGCCTTTTTTGCCAAGGATTGCTTTTGCTATTCTAGGTCTCTTCTGTTTCCAGATTAACTTTAAGGTTGTTTTTTCTACTTCTGTGAGGCATGATATGGGTATTTGGATCAGGCTTGCATGAAATCTGTATGAAAGTTTTGGAAATGTGGCCATTGTTACTCTTATTGGTTCTCCCTATCCAAGAATAAAGGCTGAGCATGGTGGTGCATGCCTGTAACCTCAGGCTTGGAAGGCAGAGGCAAGTGAATCACTGTGAGTCTGAGGACAGTCCAGGCTACAGAGTGAGTTCAAGACCATGCTTAAGAACATAGTGAGATGCTGTCAAGAAGGAAGGGAGGGAGGAAGGGAGGGAGTATCTTCTTATTTTCCGATAGCCTCTTTGATCTCCTTTTTCAGAGTACTGTGGTTTTCAATTAAAGGTCTTTAACTTACTATGTTAGATTATTCCTAAGTATTTCATTTTCTTATGCTGTTGTGAAAGGTCGTGTTTCCCTAATTGCTGTCTTGGTGAGTGTGCTACTTGTGTAGAATAATTACATTGATTTTTTTCAGTATTGATTTTGTATCCTGCTGTGCTACTGAATTTGGTTACTAAATCTTGGCATTTTGGGGGTTTTCCATAGATACGGAATCATAACATTTGCAAAAAATGATGATTTAACTTCTTTCTTCTCCTTTTATTTCTCTTGTTTAATTGCTCTGGCTAATGTTTCCAGAACTGTATTGAATGGGTTTAGTGATAATGGCCATTCTTATCTTATTCCTGATTTTAGGTAAAAGTGTCTAGTTTTGGACCATGTAATATGATATGAAGCATAAGTTTGTCATAGATGGCTTTTATCAGATTGAAATAAAGACCATTTACTCCAGTTTTCTATAATTTTTTTTCATTGTGTTGGATTTTGTCAAATACTTTTCCTGTATTGTTTGATATAATCATGTGGTTTTTTATCCTTAGTTCAGTTCATGTAGTATATTATATTTATTGTTTTGCCTATGTTGAACCATTCCTTCATCCCTAGAATGAATCCTACTTGGTAGCAGTATATAAGTTTTCCTGACTACTTACCAGTATGTTATT